AAAGAAGTGGCAAAATATGGATCAGAGATTGTTGATAACCTGACCATGAAAAATCAAATACAAGCACTAAAACTAGCAAATGGAGGACCTACTCCAGACTAATTCTAAATACTGTTTATTTATGTTGAGTTGGCATTAAATTTTGAAATTTGGTGTAGTTTATTTCTCCTGGCTAAAAACTTTTCTTAGGCCACTGTATATGGCAGTGAATGTTAGACAATTTCCTCACAGATGAAGAGGATATTTTGAGGCAACAAAGATGTGATTCGACAAAATAACACGATAAAAGGTACAATAATAAAAGAAACGAGAAAAATTTTAGAAACATCGATGTAAACGGGACACATTTATACTTAGAATTAGAAAAGTACAATTACATTTTCTAGGACACATAATGAGGAAAAAGGCTTGGGAGATTTGACACTCAGAAGACATATTTAAGGCAAGAAGGACAGAGTAACTGACCTAACCAGCTTGTGTTAATGAATAGCAGAAATGGAAATAGGATGGATAGGAAAAAAGAAAAAATACTGCGAAGAGGTACAAAGGATAGGAAGTTGCGGAGAGCCATGATCCTCAATTTTCTTAAGTCTATCTACTAGGTTAAGAGATATTGATTGCAATGTTTTTTGTGTCTCCTTGCTGGCTGAGATGGTAACGCTTTTAATTACCATCTCCAGGAACATACAGTGAAACCTCTATTCAAGAATTTGATTCGTTCCTGAAGGCCTTTCGTAACCCGAAATGGTCGTAAACCGAAATTATTTTCCAATAAGAGTCAATGTAGAGAAAAAAGTCACAGTACAATAAAATTGGAAAAGAAAAGCACGCCACAACACACGAATGTATACAAAATGGCGGTCGACTCAGAAATTATTCCGTTCGGGTTAACTCGGTTCGGCTATGTTGTCCGAGAACCGAAATTTTGTTCGATAACCGAGGTATTTTCATCTCGAATTTTCTGTTCGAAAACCGATTTATTCGACATGTTAGACGCTCGAGAATCGAGGTTGCACTGTATTTTGAACCCATATAAAAAAAACAGGTTTTCGAATTTTTCGTTCTGGAAAAGATTGGTTCAATAAATTCCGAGTGTCGCGGTATACCAAACCTAGCAAATATCTGAGTCACGTGATGTAAACTTAAAATTCACTGATAAAAAGAATTCAAAATAACATTCCTGGAGCAACCATCTCATTCTCTACCCGCGTAAACCGATAATCCGATAATCTTGTGGCGAATGAGGAGCTCCGCCGGAAGACCGGACAGTCGAACATCCCTCGCACCATTGCTCAGTTTCGTGTCTCGCAAGCTTGGTCATGTCCTACGACCACCCTACCAGATTCATCTAGTAGTTCGACCTGCCATCTGCAAACTGGAACCTCTGGAAGGAGGTCGTCCGCCAAGATATCCAGCAGATTTATCTGGCGCTGGGGGATGTTCCAAGGTTCTTCCAGCCGGTGGGGACCAGGTAGCTCACATGGGATCTACGTCTTCATGGCACGAGATTTAGTAGCAGTAGCCACAGCAGCTGATGATGATCGTGTGAGATAACGTCACGTGCACCAATCAGAAACTAGTATCAGCCAGTCAACAAAAAAAAATGTGGATGAAGAGAATAAAAGCGTTCTTACGCTGTTAGAATTCGAATCAATCCAAACTGACGTCATGTGTAAAACAATTAGATGGATCTAGACCACTCCGAAAAATGATGTTTCAAATATTTTCACGTATTATTTATCATCAGATGGTATTCTGAACTCTAGGAGAGATGACGCGTTTTTTCGAAGCTCCAAAAACATTTTAAGTTCAACTGAAAAAACGTAGACATTGCTTTAAAAAGTAATATAATTTAATGTAATTCGCAATTATTATCTCTTTTATTTCATTTACCATATATATTATGATTATTATATTTATTTGAAATTATATATATATTGTTTATTAGTATTTCTTTCAACGTTTTCCATTTACCGAGTTTTTCACGGTTACCGAGTTTTTCTGTATTAGTATTTATTTGTTTTTGTAAAATTAACTTGAAGATCGTTTGTCTTATTTTTACTTTCTGTTTTTGCTAATCTAAAGTTAAATTTATCGACTTTGTAATTTCTACTCTAGTTCATTTTATCAATTAATAGTGTAGGGATGCAAAAGTCGATTATCTCCCTTTGGTTGAGATGACGGCCACTTAGTGACGTCATTTCATAGAATGACAAAAGTGGTCAATCCGTCATTTAACTGATGGAGTCAACACACAAGAGTTGTTCATTCTGCTTTGGCTTCTACCAACTGCCACGTTGTGTAGCTTAGATTGATATTGCACCGTTTTCCTATGGAAATATATCTTCACCAAATATAGAAATTATTTCCGGTTTGCAGTTCTCAATTTGGGAAAAACCCGGGTCTCGGCGTTTTACGATTCGACCCGCTCGAATCTGGAATCCTAAATATGGCTTCCCCAGAAACACAGAATAATCTCCGGCAACTTCAATTCTGGTTGGGAATTATTTATTATAAGTAAAATTTGTTTTCACATTGCTTGATTTGGTTTGTTCTTGTTTGTTTTGTTTTACGGCATATAATCCCCAATGGCTTATTTCATGCCAACACAATTTTTATTGCTGGTAATATTTTTTTCAAAAAAATATTGCTACTAATATATTTTTTTACAAAACTATATTGCTAGAAATATCTTTTTTTTTCAAAAATGTATTGCTGGTAATATTTTTTTTCTTCTAAAATGCATTGCTATTAATATTTTTTCTTCAAAAATGTATTGCTGGTAATAATGTATTGCAGGTAATAATTTTTCCTTCAAAAATTCATTGCTAGTAATAATTTTTTACAGAAAAGTATTACTGACATTAAAACTTATTTTTACACTTTCATAGTGTTTTGACCCCATTTGGGGGGAAGTTCAACTATTTGCCCATAGAAGGGTTCAGCAGGTGCTACCAATCCGGGTCAGTATGGGCCTGAGAATACCAGCAGATAAGAGGTTGTATCACTCTCCTCAAAACCTCCTGATTAGAGGCTTTGCTGTCGGATGTAGATTATCGTCTTACCCGGGGCGTCACATTGCTTGTTGTTGCATATATGTGTTATAGTTTGTTTTGTTTTTTTTATGTCTGGGACACGTGTAAATATGTATATGCAATTTTTAGTGGTATAAAACTCTCTCGGAGAACAAATTTGTCATTCCTTTTCCGTTCCGTTTATTCAAGAAGGGGAATTTATATCATGGATGTAATAATGTCCATGACGAAGGGAAATGCAGATTGAAAGAATATTCATTTCTTCAATAACTCAACCACTTACCTGACGTGAGTTGTTATTATTTAACTCTTATTAATAGTTTAGCTGTTAGTATGTTATAATAATGACTTTTAAGTTTAAATCCTGATTTATATTTTAATTTTTCTTTCCACTATATTTTTCCAAAATTAATAAACTTTACCATATTTGTGTTTGTATTATTATTTTTCTTGCTTTCTAGTGTTTTTGTTAACCCAACTTTAAAAAAAAAAGTTAGATTTTGGGGAGCTTCTAAAACACGTAATGTATATAATGTTTATATACGTACATTATATATGTTCCAAAGGTTGTCGTACCCGGGCATGCTATTAGAGACAAACTTCCACTGTGAATAAAATATTTCCGTGGCATGCATCTTAAAGAGTCGAGCTCCAAGTCGGAGAATGCTCAAAGTTGGACAACTACCACCTGCTTGGGATAGATGAAACGCAACAGCTCAGGAAGGCAGTCCATGTAGAAGGTGGAAAACCTCTGCTGCCGGAAAAGGCTATGGAAGTAAATCCTCGTGGAGCCCAAACCCCTACCCTCCCTAAACTTAACCTCTTTTTCGAATGTAACTCATAATTGATACAACAATAGTTAATAAAAATAAACACGTTACCGCCCCTGTCTGAATGATTGGATTTCTCTGTATCCATGGTAACAGTAAATTATGAATTTATATGTGTGTTTAAAAGTAAATTTAAAAATAAGTTACTCCAATATTCGCTTGAAGATGAAACGGAACTAATGCTTTTAATTTAATTATATAATTAAATTTTAAGTTTTTAGCTTCCATTTTTGAAACATGGTTATTACTGTGTTGCGAAAAAAACCTATTTTAAATCAGTTAATTTATATATACAGACAAATCTGTCTTCTACGGACCCCCCATCAACGGACTTCGGATGCAACGGGCAAAATCTGCAGGCAAAATAAAAAAAAAAAAGTTATGCAGGAAAAAACTTCCAAATCGTCAACGATGTATTTCAAAAATTGTAGACTTAGCGGAACGAGTTGTATAAGTTCTCAAAGCGGTGGCGACCCCTTCATTTCTAAACAAAAACGGGTGTACAGTATATAAAGTACGACACATTAACGCGATCGAGAGAAAGTAGCTATGAGAAATCTATTATTGTTGTTATTTTGATTAACATATCTATTAAGTATATATTATATTTATGCCATATATACATGTGTATAGTATTTACATTATGATCATAAATACTGTTAGTTACTATAGTGATTTTACAACTCAAAAATAATCCCTTCCCATCTACAGACAATCGGTTTTAACGGAGCACCCATTCCCCCTATTAGCATATCTTCATTCAACATATATATATATATATATATATATATATATATATATATATATATTGTTGGGGATCAGGAGATGAGAAATTTGTGAGATGAGGAAAAGAGAATTGTCAGTTGAATTACTAAAAATGCTAACAAGTAATGGAAACTTAGAAAGCAACAAACGACAAAGTTAAATTGAAAGAAAACGAAACAGAAAAATATAAAGATGGCGATTTCGGAAGCGTTTGGAACATTATTGTAAAACTTGCAGAAAGATGGAAAGAATTAGCAATTTCAGGGAAACCTCAAGACGACCTTAAAATAAGCAAAATTACTGACGAATGTTCTGGACTGCTGAGGAACATTACTGTCATTTGAAGTTCAGTGAAAGAAGCTATCTACAATTATACGGTATAAATACTTAATCGACTGATAGAAATAGAAATAAAAACCGTAACTATCGACAAAGAGATCATATTATTATTATTATTATTATTATTATTATTATTATTATTGTGAGTAGTAGTAGTAGTAGAAGAAGAAGAAGAAGAAAGAAAGAAAGAAAGAAAGAAAGAAAGTAAGAAAGAAAGAAAGAGAGAGAGAGAAATGTGTGTGAGAAGATTTTTCTTATAATTCGAAACTCTTAAAATGCTTATTGAAAATCCGATCAATGTGCAATGTTTCAAAAAGGATTTTTAAAAAGAGAATAGGAAAAATCCCACAACAGATATAATCGATAAAAATGTGTCAGAAAACACACATGCACACACACAGGGCATATAGAGAGTGACTAATAGATTACGAGACAAAACACACGCATATATATTCTATTGCGCGGCCCTTATAGTTGCATATATGATACACACATATAGACAGAGAAAAAAATAAAAAAAAGATTAAAAGATTACGACAGAAAAGTACAAGGTTATATATATATATATATATATATATATATATATATATATATATATATATATATATATATATTTTTTTATATTTAGGAGCTAGCGACAGTATGGACATAGGAAACGATACTGCCAAGGGTGCTTTGCAATTTCGGCCAAGGTTGTCACTGTGTCGAAGAATTACCTATTTAGCCTTTTTTAAAAAATACATTTTGAATTCTATATCTGCCAACATTGTGTTCGTATCCTAAACGAAAATAATCTAATTTAATCAATTAATGGATTTCTTTCATCCGAAATTCTTTTAACGCAAAACATTAACACGACATTTATAGTAATAAGAAATTTCCAAAGATTTACTACCTATAAACGCACACACACACACACACACACACACACACACATATATATATATATATATATATATATATATATATATATATATATATATATATATATATATATATATTTAAAATTTAGCATTCATAATACATAAGAAAAAGACACGTTTTATAAGTTTCTGCAAGTTTCCCCAATGTATTTTGAGGAACAGTTCTAACAATTTATTTTATATATACCTGCTTCAGTGTTATTATTGTTATGTATATCCATAATAGTTTTCGATGAAGTTGTAATTATTTTGATGTTGTTTAGATTGGATAGTTTTTTATACTTAAAAATAAACGGATCTATGAATCCAAGAAGCATCTTACACACAACAATTTATCAAATGCATTAGTTTATACGTAGAATCTAATTCAACAACTTTGATCTAGAGTTTGCCACATTTATTCAAAGAGAAAGTAATTTACTTAGAAGGAAAATTCTCGAGAATGCAACTACCGAATTCTATCAGAATATAAATCTGCGACCCGGATTTTTCCCAATACCCCCCATTCCTAAAAGAATTACCACTTTCAGAAGCCAAGATACACGACTACAAAAATGTTAAAACATTAAAAGAAAACGCTTAAACCCATGACCTCATGTTATTCAAAATAGATATCACATGAATTAATCCCAAACTAAATTAATTAAATTACCAATTTGTACAAAATTGCTAAAAAAAAATAATTTTCCAAAGCATCACTTACTCACTTTTGACATTGAATTGTATCACTTCGCACCCCCCATATCTTGCCTAACGTTTCCAGCTAACCAGATTAATATTTATGAGCATTCCTAACTCAAGAATTTTTAAAAACCAATAACAGTTTCGATCCTGTATATAATTACTTGTTACAAAATAAAATCTTTATATTTGACTTGATAAAGTCACACAGACGACGAAAGATAAGTTTTTCTTAAATTGGAAAAAATTAGATAATATATATATATATATATATATATATATATATATATATATATATATATATATATATATATATATATATATATATATATATCCAGCATATCTTCATTCAAACATATTTGGTTGAATAATATAGGCATATTTTATCTGCTTATTTTTATACTGATCCTTTCCAGTTGTCAAATCAGTTTTTTTTGGTTTGGTTTGTTTTACGGCATATCAACCACAATGGGTTATCTTAATGCCGGCAAGAGTTTTATTACTAGTTAATATTTTTTCAGAAATATATTGCAGCTAATTTTTTTTTTTTTTTAAATGTATTGCTGGTAATAATTTCTCTCTTCAAAAGTTCATTGCTGGTAATAATTTTTTACAAAAATGTATTGCTGGTATTAAAACCTATTTTCCACTCTCATAGTGTTTTGACCCCAGTTTGTGGTTTAACTATTTGCCCATAGCTGGGACCCTAACAGGTGCTACCACCCCGGGTTAGGGTGGACCTGAGAACACCAACATTTAAAGGATGGTTCCACGCTCCTCAAAACCTTCTGATCAGAGGCCTTGCTGCTGGATGTAGTTTATCGTCTTGCCCAGGACGTAATCAGTTTATTGACGTTAAGATGAAATTCATTACTGAATGCCACATAGTTTTGTTTTGTTTTTTTTAACCCAAGTACTTTCGACTTCTTATAAGGTCATCTTCAGGGGTAAATTACAAAGACAAACTCATTGTAAATGCGATAAAATCTGCATCCTGTTGTGATGGTGATTTTTTAAAAAAACAAGCACGAACCTGCTCTGTTATCGTTATTTTAAAATTTTAAATTTATCCGTTGTAGTTATGGATTTCTTTGCAAAACAAGCATTTCAATAAAAGGGACCTGAATGAATATTGGTAGACATGTAGAATAGCATTAAACGTTGTTACTATATTCATGATAAATTTTGTCTGTTAGTTGGTTAATTTGGATTTAGACAACCACGAGAATTTGAAGTTGTTATCAATTATTTTTGTGGTTGAGTGTATTGTGTTGCCAACAAGTGTTTTCCTATTTTGTGAAGGTGGACAGGAATTTGTTTTTAGAAGTTGTACAATAGAACTATCACAATTACAATAAGTTTGTATTTGTAATTCAACCCTGAAGATGATCTTAGAAAAGGTCGAAAATACTTGGGTTAAAAAAAACTATATCGCATTCTGTAATGAATTTCATCTTAAGGCGCCTTCCTTTATGAAATTGAACGTAACATCAAGAAACAGATTAGACATCTGGAAAGGACACGTCTAAAAATAAGTAGACACATTATGTCTATATTATTCAATGGAATATATATATATATATATATATATATATAAAGAGAGAAAGAAAGACAGACACACACACACATATATATATATATATATATGCGACAGTATATATATATATATATATATATGTGTGTGTGTGTGTGTTTGTTCTCATTTTACCTAGACAGACATACATATATATATATATATATATATATATATATATATATATATATATATATATATATATATATATATATAAAGAAAGAGAGAGAAAGAGAGAGAAAGTAAGAAACGAGATATGATGACGATGAAGATCCAATGTGCTGCAGCCGGCTCGAATGCTCCAGATAATTACTCTATACGCCCATCGGCAATTCCCCGCCTTCAGTCCGCAGAATGGCGGGAAACCTCACCGAATGACAATTGCTCTGCAGGAAGAGTAGACTCTAGGAGATGCGAAGTGGGAGGGAAATACGAGCCCTGGGGTGAAGCATTGGAAAGGCTGAGAATACGAACAGTCAGGCAAAAAAAAAAAAAAAGAAACTGGAAGGTGTAAACAGTGTTCGCTCACTCTAAGTGGTCATCTATGCGGTCAATTAATGAGCCTAGAGGCGTCTGTCTGGGGAAAAATAAGGAGGCGGGGGTGATGGAGACAAGCAAGGTCTGGACTTAGAAAATGGAGACACCGGCGCAATCCACAGTTAGCTTATTACTAGATTCTGCAGGCGGATGGGTTAACAGGAATGTGCCTCCAGGGTGTCCTTGTCAGCAATTGATAATGACATAATAATATAAGGTTATTTGAGCTGTAATAGTAATGAAGTCGTCGTAGTTACAGCCCTCATAGGGTTATTAGCACAACAAACAGTAGTAGTAATAATAGTATTGCTTACAGTGTCGTCTCTAATGTAAGAGTGATAGTTGACATTGATTTAACAAAGATAATAGCTGTCATAATCACCATATAATAAGTGTGGTAATTTATGACAACTCTTTACAAAGACCAGATTATATATATATATATATATATATATATATATATATATATATATATATATATATTATATATACATTGTAATCTCTCTTTTCTGCAAGTTTCATTAAAAACGACTGGCAAAATGCAGTGGTTGAGTTTGTTACTTTTTTAAATTTCTCATGTGCTCATATATTTTTTCTCTTCAGGACATAAAAAAATTATCCGAATGTTTTCCAAGCGCTTTCGGCCATACTTTTAGCCATTATCAAGGATGAATTTTATTTTATTTTTAATTGAATATATGGATTGTTTTATGTATCAATCTAAAGTTATGCGAATGTTTTATTTTCCAAACACGGTCAGCATATTGTGGCTGCGTTCATAGTTCATATTACTGAGTGTTAGCTTTTTCTTTTTTATTAATAATGTTTCCATTATTTTTAGCCTCTTTGTACATGTGGATGATGCTGTTATATTTGTGTTATCAACGAGCATGTAACGGATAGACTTTGGTAGGACACTTTGTGTATTTAAATGAGATCTAATTGAGCTATAGTCAGATAGATGCCACGTGGGTCTTCTTGTTATACATGCTGTAGTATATAGCCAATATAACCATTTACGAATTTGAATTGATCAGGAACACAGTTCCTTAAAGGACATGTAAAATTCCTGAATAATTTTGGTTCCCTGTAACTTAGATCTTGTAGGTGAATTATTATTTTTGACGATGAGGTTAGCGGTTTAAATTTTTTTTGCATGTATATATATATATATATATATATATATATATATATATATATAATATATATATATATGAAAAAATATACGGAAAAACAAACAAAAATCCTAATATGCAATTATGCTGTTTTAATGTTAATATAATGTCAACGTCGGACGTTTCGATCTAATAGACCATCTTCAGGACATATTCATAAAACATAATTAACACAGACCATATTCAATTCAACATGAAAAAGACGATGAACGTAAAAGCAAGACCAACGTTGACATTATATTAACATTAAAACAGCATAATTGCATATTAGGATTTGTTTATTTTTTCCGTATATTTTTTCTTCATACTGTCGGATCTATATCCATATATTTTATACATACATATATATATATATATATATATATATATATATATATATATATATATATATATATATATATATATATATATATATATATATATATTAAAGTATAATAAGAAAGTTTGGTTGAAGGTCAACGAATGTTTTAGTAATGTTTGTTTTTTCTATGTTTCTGCTCATTTCAAGTACATGTTAAAATATAAATTATCCAATGTCTGAGTACTGCCATAATTCTTTATCAAAGAGGTTTTATTTTTTATTCTACGTCAGTGAATATTTAAATATAACCTCTCTAATGACAATACTTTTGGCTTTCATAAGCCTTTATCTAAGAGTTTTAGCTTTATGGATGATACACGTTTCATCATTTTCAAAGATCGTTCCTTGCGAATCCACGTAAGAGTTCGTGTTATGGTTTATTTGCGGGGGGGGTTCTTTTTTTGTTTTCAATAAAATACATGGAGAATGTTTCTTCCTGGGTTTGAAAACATTTTTTGAAGATGGCTAATACTTCGTGTATCTGCAATCGTTTTTTTTTTTTTTTTTTTTTACTGTTCATGGGGTACAGTATTTTTATGTTATTGGCAAGGATTAGTCATATTTCTTGTTACGTTCAGAAGTTGTGTTGGTTAGTGAAATGCGTTATAATAGCTGTGTATTTGGGCAGCAATTACTCTCTAGTACATGTTTCCTTAAAAAAGAATAACAAGTTACAGGTATTTTTTTATTTTATGTGTTTGCGTGTGTGCTTCTTGCATGGATAATTTCTTTTTACAAAATCATTAGTTCGCACCCAAGAAAAACACAAGACAAAAAATAACAGAAGAACCTTGTCAGTTCATTTCAGTTATATATATATATATATATATATATATATATATATACACATGTACCTACGTACAATATATACTCTGTTTAACTATATTGAACAATGTTTTGTTTACACCTTAGATAAATCTTTATTTTGTCATATATCAAACGCATATACAGTTGCTAATATCTCGTTATTTAGTTTATGTTCACACTTCGTCCTCTGATGAAATTTACCAATGTAATTGTAATTATTTGGCAAATACATTTATAAATACACAT